AAGCATGTCGGAGCTCAAAATGCTTCCTGTGCATTTCTACTCAGATTTCAACTCCATTATGGAGGCTATCAACAGCGATCGAATGGACTTATTACATTAAAACTAATTCACTGCCGTTGAGGGTGATAGAAGTCAAAAGGTGAATGAGTTTTAACATGAGATCCAAACCCAGGTGCTTTGGCATATTAAAATCCTCAAAACAAAAAAAAAAAACGACCCCAATGCTGATACATTTTTCAAATAATACACCTGTAGTGTACCTTATAGGCCTTCATAGTGATGGCTTCCTTCTCTGGTACTTGACACACTCTTCCTGGTCCAAGCACATGGCTTACGGCCTAAAAGATAAAGAGAGTTGATCAGAGTTGTTCTTGTTGAACGAGAAAATCATTTCAAAAGAAAAATGGCAGGTGACTACGGAGAATGCTCAAAAGAGCAGTTTTTTCCAGTAATTTACCTTCACTATGTCCCCCAGTTTGTTCCTGGAGTCATCAATCGCAAGAATATATTTGGCCTTGGGTTTGACCTCAATTAAACTTTGTATCACTCTGTAAAATAAATCACAGCCAATTAAGTGAACACAAACAATCGAATGCCCACCCCCCAATCTAAATATTTAAAAGTGGCAAAGCACTTAGCGAGGTCAAGCACGTGGATGGTGGGGATGTAATTTGTGCCCTCGCCAAATATGGGAACTTTGGTACACTCAGACAGCCAAGACACCTATGTCGCAAATACAAAATGAAAATAATCAAGCGGGAAACTAAACAGACTGTGATTGAAGGATAATTTACCTTGTAAAAGTAGTGGAAGAGATTTTCTCCCTTTCCGTACTGTATCCCCGCAGCCAAAACGTAACCTTTCAGTTTAGTTTTTTTCTGAAAGATGTCAAATATGACAGATGACATTCAATTGCATGCTGGTGTTACTTCACATGGCGGTGTGTATTTTTCCACAGCAAACTCCTTACCCCTGTTCCCAGTTTGAGGACTTGTTTCTCCATGTTGTTGTGGTGTTTAAAGCTAGGATGCGGACGTCTTTTTCGGAACTCCTCCTCTGTTATAAATCTTTCTGGTTCCTCCTGCAGGAAGGATGCGTTGGTAATAGCATCGGCACTCTGTTGAACAGTCGCCAAGCTCACCGTTTCTGGTCTCTTGGTCATGGCCCACGTCAACACCGTCGAGACTAAAATGAAGGTTTTCTTTGATCTGAAGTTCTGCATTTCACCATGAAGGGCTACAAACAATAGTGAAGGAAGCATCGTACAATTAGACATGTGACAGGATTTCCCAAAAATGGCAGTTTGTTTTTTGTGAATTTACTATGGAAGATTTTAGAAGCATTTGAAGTGCTCGTTCCATTTTTTTGGCGGGGGGCGTGGGGGTCACTTTGCTAGTAAAATTCCAATTACAATGTGATAACAATCAAATATAGGGGTCTTTTCTTGTTGCTGACCTGTGATTGCCCAAGTGGCCTCTTCAATGTCGTCTTGGGTCGCATTTTCGGAGATGTTGTACACCACCACGTCGCATTCCAGCAAGCGGGGGAGGAGTTCCTCTCTGCTTAGCGACTAGAAAACAAGATTGTGACTTATTTTTCCCGGTGTTGCAGCAATGTACACTGATTATTTTAGATACTTTTTGGAAACCTCACCAAGGAATGAACTGGCCCATTTGTCACATTTTTAAACTCACCGAATACTGCTCATGCAAAAGGCTTATTTTCTCACTGCTGGATGAAGAGGACACAGTGCCGACCACTTGGAAAACAGGTTCATTTGTCTGAGGTTCGCCGTCATCATCATCCTCCGTCTTCTCCCCGCAACTCGATAAATACTGTCCACGTGAGTCAGGGAGGAAAAAGTACATTAATTGGGCAAAGCCAACTTATCCTGAATAGATCTCATGTATGTACTTCACCTCCGCGATGTGTTTGGAAGAATATTTGCCGACGTCGTTCACAAAAATACGTCTACAACGTTTTTTGTCACCCATTTTGGATAAAATATTAGGCTGCTAATGTTACTTAAGCTTTAGGTTGCTAAAATGACTCAGTAAAGCAATTGTGGTAGTCCCTTGTTTAGGGTTTAACTTGAAATAATCACCTAGGGGACGCATCACGCATCAAGGACTCTTACGTCATCATTTAGCGACGATATGGGTGTATGGCTGATGAGCTACAGGTGGGTGATGAGCTGGCAAGCCTCAAGTGTGAGGTGCACAGCACCCTGGCTGAGCAGGCCGCCTGGCTGGCCCCTCCCTAACAACATCACCTATGATCCAAAATGTATTTTGGAACGCAAAATGGAAAACTCAAAGAGCAACACGGTAAAAACTAACCTGGGATCCATTTTAGATCCCCATAAATAAAGGCCTGAGGATGATGAATGTTGCCGCTATGCTGAAGTAAATTATTGAATTGAGGACACTAATGTTAGTTAATAACTGCATATGCATTTGGATGCTTCCAAATTGGGCTATTATTTCAAATGTAACAGGCAGGCAGCTGGACGAATGTGCGACAGTCTGTGTTACAGCTATTACCGCTTATGGTGTTTATCTTTCTCGTTACAGCTTCATTTATCCAAGTTCCACACCGCCCATGCCGTGATATTCCCCACATACCTGTGGGTGTCCTCATTGTGCGGGACAATGGAGCACCGACATGGAAACTTCCAAAGTACCTCACATATTTATAGCGCTGACATTATCTGACAAACTGCTGGCAAGCTCTGCACGCCGTCTGCACAAGACAGACCGCGGCACTCAGTAAAGCACACCCTCACACACTCTCGGTGTGAAGAGATAATGAGTGAGGGAAGCTGCTTAGGGGATGCCTCGTTTGCCCTTTGCCATGTATAGTGAGACTTGTATGATATTGTTATAATTGATCAGTTATATTCAGCACTTTTAATTTCGAGTTTATGTCATGCGTGTACGCCGCTGCTCTGATGAACATGACAAATGCAGCTGCTTACAGAAGGCCTGCTTCACATTACAGTGATGCATGTTAACACCAAGGACGATAATGCGGAACACCATCGCTCATTGTCAGTGGCCAATGAAAAAGACCCCTCTGTCATGACAATGTTTGTGTGCAATTCATCATGCATTGTTAAAAACACACTCCACCACCCTTTGAGATGATGCTAATAAAACTACTGGTGACTACAAGTAGTTTTGGCTGGAAGCTGCAACCACGTGGACCAATGGTTCTTTTACTGGGGCTTTTAATGCACTGAAATATGATGGATGGCTTGAAATGACATCACTGTGTTGTCTACAAGTCATGTAGCGTAAACTGCTGTCAAAGTCGGGGATAGACCTGGCTGTTACAATAAAACAGTTGTTTCTAGCAGCTGCTGAAGTGGGTGTGCAATGCGTAAGGGGGTGGGGGCTCGCGGAGGGGGTCAGCTGCCAAGACAGACAAACGCTTTGCTTCCTATGTGTCCTTTTAAGGACGAAACGTGCCTCAAAATCACAACCCATTTCAGACCCTTCTACTTGATCCGGATAAAGACACCGCGATACACACACAAGTTGGTGTCTGCCAAAAAGTGCCCGATCTGCAGGAACGTATTTTTGTTTATCTATGCCAGTGACACACAGTAGGCAGAACAATTAAATGATCTTGCAAGGTACAACAAACCGTGTGGACCAATATGTAGTCGCTGAACCAAAGCAAGCCTTGTCTGACAGAATATTTTGGCGACGGCTGCTGTAAAGAAGGTAAATATAGAATGACAATATAGCAACACAGAGTTTAGAAGGGATCACACATAATCCACGAGCGGGAGAGCCAAATCCAAATCCATCGCTTTGATTAGGCCGATCCTACAGTTCTTGCCGTGATGTCATTGCCGCAAACTGCAGAGTATGTCATATCCAGCTTGCTTTGAAGTTATCGTTCACATATACTGTAGTTCAATAATTTGCCACAATTAGATTCCTTCACTTGTGTTATGAACTATTACTTGACTGATGGCACACTATATAAAAATCTAACGATCGTGACCGCTATCAAGATACACATAAAAGCTCAGAATAGAAGTAAACAAGTAGGTTAGCAGCGTCACTCTTGGAAGTACATTACGCGCATCTACAAATGGAGCGGTTGATGGTGCGGGAGGTATTTACATTCTTATTACCCGCGCCGGCCGGCTATCCCCCCCACCCCGACTCCCACCCCCGGCATGGCGACGGAACTTGACATATATGGAGCCTGGGGGTTTGACGACCTCCAGGCACCCCGTTGGGGGGCATGCAGTCACCGGCACCTGTTACGCTCCACTTCCCTAAAAGGAGACACGGGAGCCAATCAGAAGGGAGAAGGGAGGCCTGCTGCGCCGGACATCCCAGGGAATCTGTCGTCTGCTGGAGGTCTGGGCGATAGCGGTTTCCCACTTACCCCCTCCTTCTCCTCCTCGTGCAATATTGCATCTCAGCTGTCTGGGTGGTGTTTGCCTCTCCCCTCCTCTCAACTCTTACGCATGCCATGACACTGGCGATCCCCCTTAGACGACTCCTTGACTGTTGCTCCGATCGGGGCTCATGTTACCGTCACCCCCTTCAATCACCTACTTTCTTCGCGTTCTGCGAGAGCTTAGTCATATTAACACATATTTAGCAATCTGCCCTGGGGAGGCCCCCATTGAAAGTATTGGAGGGTCAAAAAAATGCTATGCTGATGCTGCTGAATAATTTTGTGCTTTACACTGAAAGTCGAACTTCACATGAAAAGGTTGAACATGACATGGTCCCTGCATGATTCACAAAAATAGCCGATTAATCATGATCTGTGATTTGATAATCAGCACTTTTTTTAACGCTTGTTGATCACGCTCCACAAGATATGCTCAAAATAATATCTCATCATTTTGATTCTTTACCGATTGTATGCCTCGTATTCATGTCATGCCATTCTAAGGCAACATCTCCCCATTTTGGTGGCGCCCTTGACATGAGATCCACTTAACTCCCTCATCTTTCAGAGCAGCACATATTTGGACTTCTGTGAACTCCCGAGTCCGCCCACCTGCCCCCCTTAGCTCGAGCGTATTTAAGGAACCCCTCGCACCCTGGTCCTTCGTCCCAGTGGAAACTCCAGTCTTGCATCGAACTCTCGGTGAGTCTGGTTTTGTTGCCGTAACTTGACCTTTTTGACTTTTTAAGGGCCGTTTCAGGACAGATGTAGTATTGCAATAGCATGGATGTGCTTTAAAGAGGGTTCACCTCACAGGAGATGTTGTTCAAGTTTATGATTCGGTGCTTGAAAATGATTTTGCTTTTTTGGGGGGGAGATGCTATTGAGTGAACTTTAGCATACAGGAGTAGGATGCTGAGATTTGATAAAACAGCATAAGTGATCATCTTAAACGTGACTGCTTTAAAAAACATGACTCCTTTCAGCATTTCCTTGATGGGTTATTTTCCAATTTCCGAGTCAAAAAAAGTACAAGTATGGAGAACTTAAATACTGCAACTCCCTCAAAACCAAATGGCCAACTGCACAGGGGCTGCTCTAAACTGTGGAATGGCAACAGCTGAGGAAAAACCCAGGCCTTTGCTGCCACTTGCCAAAGAACGCATCACCTCAGCTGTTACGTGGCCGTGGTTTAATAATGAGATACAGAGTGAAGAGTGTGTGTGTGGGGGGGGGGGGGGAAACGACGACAAGGGTTCCGTGACTAAAAATAGAGTGGTGCGCGGGGGATGAATCCATTTCCCAGTTTGGCAAGATACAGAGAGAAGATGAGTGCACTTAAGGGTGACTTGGAAACTACAACCCTTCTCTATTGCAGAAGGCCAAAGAAGAACAGATCAAAATGTGTGACGACGACGAAACCACCGCCCTTGTGTGCGACAACGGTTCTGGCCTGGTCAAGGCTGGGTTTGCCGGTGATGATGCCCCCCGTGCTGTCTTCCCATCCATCGTTGGACGCCCCCGTCACCAGGTTAGAAACCTCACCCTTCTGAATGATATCATCAATCATCATCGCTTCCTTATTAGCCGTGTGCATTTACACCTTTCTGTCCTGAGATTCTGAGATGCGTTTTCCTCTCAGGGCGTGATGGTGGGTATGGGTCAGAAGGACAGCTATGTGGGAGATGAGGCCCAGAGCAAGAGGGGTATCCTGACTCTGAAGTACCCCATCGAGCATGGCATCATCACTAACTGGGACGACATGGAGAAGGTGAGAGTCGTTGGTCTGATTGCCGAGATATACAGCACCTTCAATCCACATTGTGCGTCGCTGAGAAACTCTCTCCCGACTCGAATCAGATCTGGCACCACACCTTCTACAACGAGCTCCGTGTGGCCCCAGAGGAGCACCCCACCCTGCTGACTGAGGCCCCCCTCAACCCCAAGGCCAACAGGGAGAAGATGACCCAGATCATGTTTGAGACCTTCAACGTCCCTGCCATGTATGTGGCCATCCAGGCTGTCTTGTCCCTGTACGCCTCCGGTCGTACCACCGGTGAGTTTCCCTTGAAATACTTTTTTTCTTATCATTTATTCATTTGGTTGCGAGATGTGGTCTGATATGAGGTGGCTTCGTGTGAACAGGTATTGTACTGGACTCTGGTGATGGTGTGACCCACAACGTGCCCATCTATGAGGGTTACGCTCTTCCCCACGCCATCATGCGTTTGGATCTGGCCGGTCGTGACCTGACTGACTACCTGATGAAGATCCTCACCGAGCGTGGCTACTCCTTCGTCACAACTGGTAGGAAAACTCAGGAAAATAGCTCATGAAATTGTTCATACAGTTGTGTGGTACCTCTGAAGTTAAACACAAATTCGTTTTGCGTGTGTCTCCAACACGTGCGCCAGAAATATATACAATCAGTGCAAAACACACAGAGAGTGTTAATATTTCCTGTTGAAGTGAGAGCCTGCAGATACATGCCATCATTCACGTTGGCAGTATTTCCCCCCTAGAATTTTGTTTCATACTAAATTACTCAAACATACGCAATTTTGTGTCCTAGCCAAATGTCACAAATAGTTGTCGAGCCTCATGTATCGATGCCTTGACGGTAAACTTTTCCTCCCTCAGCTGAGCGTGAGATCGTGCGTGACATCAAGGAGAAGCTGTGCTACGTCGCTCTGGACTTTGAGAACGAGATGGCCACCGCTGCCTCCTCCTCATCTCTGGAGAAGAGCTACGAGCTTCCCGACGGTCAGGTCATCACCATCGGTAACGAGCGTTTCCGCTGCCCCGAGACCCTCTTCCAGCCTTCCTTCATTGGTGAGACCTGACACTTTTAGCACTAGCCAGTTACTGCCTCAAGAACCAAAATGTCAATCGTAAATGTATTTTCCAGAGCGAGTTTTCTCAGAAACTATTAATAAGTTCCTACGTAGGCATGGAGTCTGCTGGTATCCATGAAACGGCCTACAACAGCATCATGAAGTGTGACATTGACATCCGTAAGGATCTGTACGCCAACAACGTCCTGTCTGGTGGCACTACCATGTACCCTGGTATTGCTGACCGTATGCAGAAGGAGATCACAGCTCTGGCCCCCAGCACCATGAAGATCAAGGTGAGCGACTATGACCAGCTAACATCAACGACTTGGCTGTTGGTTCTGACCACACTCTTCTCCACCTCTAGATCATCGCGCCTCCTGAGAGGAAATACTCAGTCTGGATCGGTGGCTCCATCCTGGCCTCTCTGTCCACCTTCCAGCAGATGTGGATCAGCAAGCAGGAGTACGACGAGGCGGGCCCCTCCATCGTTCACAGGAAGTGCTTCTAAATCTCCAACCGAATGCCAAAACAACCCGAGCTGCAATTTTCCTCCCCACGTCTCTATTTGTACTGTGCCTAATGCTGTATATACATGTAACATTGTAATAAAAAGAGCTGCTTTAACAGTACCCTGTCCTGTTTGAATGTCGTAATATACAGTGCCTGCGACGATGACTATCTTTCTATTTTCTTTGAACATAAAAACCCCCCTAAAAATTATGTATTATTTTATCATATTGATGTGCATTGACTGAATGGCATCTACACAAATTTTGATTCACTGATCCGTTTGAATGTCGTAATATACAGTGCCTGCAACGATGACTATCTTTCTATTTTCTTTGAACATAACCCCCCCCCAAAAATTATGTATTATTATTTTATCATATTGATGTGCATTGGCTGAATGGCATCTACACAAATTTTGATTCACTGATCGAAAACCAGTCATTAGCACTCTTGAAAATGAAGTTAAACAATATATTAGAATTATTACACACTCCAGAAAGTACATATGGATCATCTTGCTCAGATGGGATAGGGTAGAAAAGTTCCACTGCAAAAGTGAGAATTCACAGAGCGCCCTGATGTCCCAGCAGTCGAGTGCGCTCGAACGCAACATCGCTCCCTTGACACCTGTGCGCCACAGGGGATACAAATGATCCTAATGAGGCCACCTCCTTGACTCGCTTGTGTTTTTAACCAAGTAAACATCGTGGCTTCAAAGAGCTGTACAACTTTGCTGTTTTGAAATACCCCTCCACGTTATTTCAACATGAAGATTACTGACAGTGATGTGATTCGCTTTCACCTTCAAGTCATCCACGGTATAAACGTCAAAAGTGTTGAGAGCAAAACCGAGAGACTCTTTGCGAGTGGTGCGAAGGTTTTCGGTGTTCCTCTGGAGAATTTGTCGAGGAGGTTTATTCCTGAATTTGGCCTGGTTCCTGGGTGAGTGCAAAGAAAAAAAAAGGGGCAGGGGGGGTGATGAGTGTTGTGTTCTTGTACTGCAGAAATTGTTTTTTTTTTTTCTTTGAATATTTTGTCTCTCAGCTTTCTGGTGGACGCTTGTTCGTTTCTTCTGGAGCGCGCTGGAACGGTGGGCCTCTTCCGAAAACCGGGCTCTCTACCTCGCATTAAGTCCCTCAGAGTAAGTTCTCCTCGCAGTTGAAGCCAGAACATAATCGAGTGCAATGTTTTCCGACCCTTGCGCCGAGGCCCATATTTTATGTTAGAAAAAAATATCTCTGCACAGACACTGGACATCACTGATCTAGTTTTCTTAGCCAACGTATATTCCCGCTCATTATTTCAGGCCAAGCTGAATCGAGGAGAGGCCTGTCTGTCCACAGCCTTCGCCTACGATGTGGCCACTCTCATCAAGCAGTTCTGCAGGGAGCTACCGGAGCCTCTAATACCTGCAGAGATCCCTGCTGCTTTGCTGAAGGCGCAGACGCTGGACTCCCTGCAGGACAGAATTTCAGCCCTCCAGCTGCTGTCCTGCTTACTGCCTGCCAGAAACTCCTCCTGTCTGCATTATCTGTTGGACTTCTTGTCCAAAGTGACCCAGAGGTTTGAGACAACACATAATCATAAGGGAAGGGCTGTGAGGCAATGAAAATTGGTGTTTTAATGAAATGAAATGAAAATGAAAGTTTTCATAATTTGAACACTTCATTCTGAGCTGTTTGTGACTTTGAAAATTCATGCTAGGGGTGTCGTGCTGTTGGAAGTTTTAATGTTATAATTTAAACACTTCATTCTGGGCTGTTTGCGACTTTGAAAATTCATGCTAGGGGTGTCGTGCTGTTTCACGTTTTGTACAGAGATGGGCTTCTGTTACTATGGCAGCTTGTACAGTTAATCGAGTGTGACGACTGACTTTTCACGCCGCTGTTCAACAAGCCTTTCTGGTCATGCTCCTTTAATTTCATCGTTACCTTGTGGAGTAGATAGCACATGGGTTAAAGAACCGATTTCTACATTACAGTCATTTATTTTTAAACGGTGTTCTGATGCCTACTTTTGTGGCTATTTAATATCGCCAGATGTGAGGAAAACTTGATGACCAGCTCCAATCTGGCAACAGTCTTTGCTCCCTGTCTCCTACCACCTCCCAATAAGCAGGAGATGTCTGAAGGACGCTTTGAACTCCGAATTCTAGTCCTGCGCACCTTCATTGAAAAGCCACAAATGTTCGGTAATGACCCCGTCAAATAGTTGTCCCATTCTTGCGAAAGAGAATTTTAAAATGAATGTGTCATGTTCATCAGGTGTGATTCCAAAAGCTGTCATGGATAGTATGGGATTCCTTATTAACTGCCCTCTTCTGAAGGATGCACATTCCAAGAAACACAGTTTGAAAGGTTGACACGTTAAGACGGACAGTATCCCAAAACAACCCTTGTACGCTTTACTCGCTCTGTTTGCTTTAAATTCATATAGTCTTGTGGTCTGTGAAGACTGTACCCTGGATTCAAGGGAAGACAAAGGTCAGGCCAGCAGTCCATCAGCGGAGGCGGGAGTCCAACCTGCCACGAAGGCCGACTCTCAGGAGGAGCGTCGGCCTGGAGGTTTTTCCCAATATTGCCTTTTTTAGGGCCTGCATGTCTTGTGAAGGTAAATGGGAAAAGGGAAAGTTCTGTGTCTTGTCTGGTCTTTTAACTGCTTCTGTGCATGAAGATTCATCACCCGCAGCTGCCATCTTGGATGCCTTAAGTCCTTCCAGCAAACAGCCTTCACCTAATAGGATAAAAAGGTATGTTGTTAAAATATATTGAATATTCAACTAATTAAAGTCGCATTTGTCGTATATAATGTTTTGGTGCACTGATGTTGCAGGGACATGCGTCTTAGCCTTTTCCCTGGGCTGGGCCAAGGGCAAACGGCATCTTCGTCTGTGTTCAGTGCTGTGGGCAAGTTGCAAGCAGCATCTTGGAGTAAACGGATTTCTTTATGACACATACCTGATGCTCACATGGCATTTTTAAGAACTCACTGATACATTTTTAATTTAAATTATTGCTTTAGAAATGTATATTGTACTGTGTATGACTGCAAGTCAAGTTTTCTTCAGGGTTTACCTGCTCACTATCTAAAATTAAGGGTACCCGGACTGTATGAATTGTATTTGCCACTGTGACATAACAGTCATCAATAAAACGATGCAATTTGGAACCATTTAACTACTTTGACCACTGACTCAATTTTAAGTAAAAAAATAAACTAGTATTTGTTAGGCAAACATTTCCATTTGCTTCTGCGAGGAAAATGATTCAGAATGCGTCACGGCCGAAATTCGATACCCAGTTCGCATTGCTGCTTGATGGAGGAAAAAGAAATTGGTAGGATAGCCAATCAGAAGAGAGGATTTCTGGTTTCTCAGCATCCGAGGCTAGACCAAGTTATGCAGAGTAGTTGTGCAGCGTCAACCGGAACCCATGTCGAAGCTCCTTCAAAATGTATACTAAATGTTACCGCGAGCGAGCTCGCGAAAAACGATGATTATTAATCCTACCTGAATTTAAAATATGGACAAATATAGGAGTGCGGAAATGTTCAAAATGCAGTTTTAATAAACAAGCTCATTTCGATACGTCGGTTGTTGGTTCAGTTTTACTCTGAAGGCCAGAAGTCCAAAAATTCATTTACAGTTGTACCTTGACGGACATCTTGCTCAGACGACAGGTCCATTTGACACGACAAGGTAAGAAAATAAGGCCTTTATTTGGATTATTCTATCTAGGAATTTGCGAGGTTTTAATACATCATGTTACAACGATGTAAATAAAATCAGGTTATAGCATTCCTTTATGCACTAGTGATGCTTGTTGTTTGCAGGCAAAAAGGCTTGTTTACACAAATGTTTAGTACGCGCACTAAGACTCTTTCACATTCCTAATAAATCAAATACAATCTTCGCTCACTAAAATGTAATGAATATTTCGTCTCCTCGGCGTGCGTTTGTTATGCACACCTGCAGATGGCGGAGAAGATGTCGGCGGTGCGGTCAACGCTGCTGGGTCTCCTGGTGTGTCTGCAAATGGGCGCCGCTCCGGCCCGCAGTGCCCTCGGGCCAGACCAGGTATCCGAGGCCGACATCCAGCGGCTCCTGCACGGCGTCATGGAGCAGCTCGGCATCGCTCGGCCCAGGGTGGAATATCCCGCCCACCAGGCCACAAACATCGTCGGGCCGCAGAGCATCCAGGGTAATGTCGAATAAGAAAAAAATATTGATTCTCATTCCCAACTCTGCGCCATGCATGGCGCATTGGTGTGCAATGAGAGATCGTTTTTGTTGTACAGTACTGGATTGCTTGATTTTTTTTTTTTTTTAACCATGAAGTACATCACATTTTTTCTCCACTAGGCGGTGCTCATGAGGGGCTGCAGCACCTCGGTCCCTATGGCAACATTCCCAACATTGTGGCTGAGCTGGCAGGTGACAATGTTCCCAAAGACTTCAGCGATGATCACAGCTACCCAGATCCTCCAAATCCTTGTCCTCAGGGAAAAACTGGTAGGATCCTGCATTCTCTGTGCAGTCTTTGACTTGTACGCACACAAAATGCTCCTTTTTGAGGGAGAATCAAAATGCACTCCGTGACAAGGGGGTGTTCCGTCTGCTTGATTGCATTTTCTCAGCGGCAGACGGGTGTTTGGAAAATGCTCCGGACACAGCCGACTTCAGCCGGGAGTTCCAAAAGCATGGACACCTTTACGGTTCAGGGAATGAGTACCCCGCTCTGATGAAGTGGGTCAGTACACACGTGAACCGCTACAATATAGCCTCTCAAGGATGTGGACTAAAGCTCACATGACTCTTTAACCAAGTTCACTCCTCACTACGCGATGGTAAACTATTATTTCAAGATTTATGCTTCCAGCAATGCCATTTGTTCGTCCACAAATTCAAGTTTAGCTCAGGCTCAACAGCAAAACATAAGCAACAGATTATTAATTGACATCTGAGGATAATGGTGGTTAGAAACTTGGAGCGGTTGAAGCTCAAAACGAACTTGTTTGTAATTTGTGGTAAGCTTCCATCTGGGTATTTGAACAAGTCAGTGATTTGCGCAATGTCTTTTCAGAACAAGGAGCGTCTGTACCAGAAGCTGAAGGGTGGACCAAAGAGACGAAAAAGGGTAATAACACTTTTTTTTTTTTTGTGGTCTTTGTATTATTTGTAACCACATCACATCAACAGATTTACATCCGAGCATTTGAGGACCTAATCAAAACAAGACTCTTTGTAATATTACATTCTGATTGCGTGTCGTGTATGTGTGCCTTTTTGTTCGCTTGAAATGTTTTTCCTGCAGAGTGCCAACCCATACCTGATGGGCCAGAGGCTTGACAACGTCGTCGCGAAGAAATCAGTTCCAAGTTTCTATGAGGAAGATGACAGCGAGGCATCAACCATTTCTGCAACCACCAAAGCCACAAATTAAAAACTATCCCAAAAGAAGGAACACCTCCTGTATGAAAAAAAATGTTGGGGGGGAGGAGGGGAATGCTTGGTTCATTTTAAAGTCACATAAGTGCTGTTTGTTGATGTTTATTGGGTGAATGTGACAAACGTTTAAAGAGAGAATTTATAATCCCACTTGACCATTAGAATTTGTGAATTTGTTAGTGACTTCTAATTTGATGGTGATTAAGGTCCGACTTTCCTTTCATGAAAACACATTGTCACTTGAAAATGAACATGAAAAATGACTTACTCGACGTTTAAAGAGAGAATTTATAATCCCACTTGACTATTAGAATTTGTGAATTTGTTAGTGACTGCTAATTTGATGGTGATTGTCTGACTTTCCTTTCACGAAAACACATTGTGTCACTTGAAAATGAACATGAAAAATGACTTACTCTCCAACCAATGCTTTGGTTGTTCAAGTGGAAATACAGATGTTTAATTAACATTACTTTTAAACAGAAATGTTGATGTGTAACTTTCAAACTTTGTACCATCCTGTTTATCTTAAAATGACCTCTATCAATATCATAATTAGGTCATAGCTACACAAACTCATGAAACTCGGTTGTTTTATGTACACCCGCATCACTCTCATCTTTTAGTGGAGATGCATCCTTTTTACTGTAGCATGATTTTAAGCAGACGAATTGTGTTTCTTCAGTTATCTTGTAGACTTAATAAAAAAATATCAGCAGTGAAAACAGTGGTAGTATTTCTTTTTTTTTTTTTTTTTTAGGTCAGATGTGCTCAGGCTTGTGGGCGTGCTCTTAACCAGAACCAGAAAGTTAAACATTCATGAATCCCCCCCTTCCCAAAGGACAAGATCAGGACAACATTCAAAGCGAACGCGCGTGGAGTCGATTTCAATCGAAAAACTAAACGACAGGTAAACTATAATACACAAATATAGTTTGATTGTAATGGATGGATTTGAAAAGTGCGCAGCGCGTGCGTAATACCTGTGCGTCAATGCCTTCCTTTCAGCTTCCACGATGAGAAGCCCGCGGTGCTTGCTGACCTTCTCCGCGGTTCTTGTCCTGCTGCTCAGCACGCCGAGGAGTACGCACGCCACCACCTTCCAAGGCGCTTTCCCGCACCCGAACAAATCCAACCCCAACGAACCAGAGCGGTGCCTGCCGCCCCCAATCAGTGGATTCATCACCCGCGGGATGGCGCCCGCAGCCATCGCCGAGGAGGTTTTGGAGTCCAGTCAGGAGGCACTGCACGTCACGGAGCGTCGGTACCTGCGCTTGGACTGGTGCAAGACCCAGCCGCTCAAGCAGACTATCCGCGAAGACCGATGCCTGAGCCGAACCATCATCAACCGCTTCTGCTATGGCCAGTGTAACTCCTTCTATATCCCGCGGCACGTTTACCAGGACGGGAGCGCGTTCGAGTCCTGTTCGGCGTGCGTACCCAAAACCTTCAGCACGGTCACTTACACTCTTTTCTGCCCCGGACAAACGCCCAATACCAGGAAGAAACGCGTCCAGCGCGTAAAGCAGTGCAGGTGCACTACAATCAACACGGATTAAGACCTGACGTGGATCTTCTTTTGTCTGGGAGAGAAAAAAAAACAACTAAAACTCTGGGCGTCTGTTTGCAAGCAGGGGGGGGCAACCGGAATGAAACGTTATTGAAACAAGAGGAGTTTCATATAGTGACATTTTCATCTTTATTTCCTGATCAGTTCCAACTATGGACTCGAAACAATCCAAACAGTCATCCGGTTTTCAAACATGACCATATATTTACCTTTATTATTGCATTCCTGTTATAAAAGTGGGAAGTGTTCATGAATTCAAATAAATTGTAAAGTTAGTCTCGTATATGCTAACGTACAAATCAAAAAAAATTTTTTCAGTCTATTATTGAATGAGGATCTTCAGTTGAGTTCATGTTAGCTTCTTTATGCCGCAGTCGTTCTTTCTGTTGGGAATAAAGCACCGTATCAGTGGAAGCAACGCATTTGTAGAAATACCTCCTTTTATATATGATATGAATTGATTATTTGGCATTTTCTAAGGCATATGGGTGCTCAGTGGCACACTTACCAGACTGTTCGGGATCATCTTTCTGGTCTCCACTTTCTTTTCTGCTGTGATCCTCCTCACTGACTGCTGGGCCTCTTTTAACCTGGAGTAGTTTTATTTTCTCGGGATTACATTTCCAGAGAAATGCATTTTGGACAATTTTGGACAAGGCACATGTCCAATAATTAACTAATGATAATGATACCTTTCTTTAGTGAAGTTCCGATTCTCCCGCTTCCACCTGGCCTTGAAGTCGGTGCAAAACTCAAACCACAGCATGAAGAAATGAGTGGACATCACCTCCTTTTCTCCCGCTTTGGGCTTCAGGCCAAAGTAAACACACAAGTCCTGGAAACTGGGCAGCCATACAAGAATTAATATGTCTAAATCTATCCGGCACACCGATGCTTTTAATTTCAGCGGCCAAAGACGTTCTTCCACTCACCTTTTTTGGGCTGACATTAACTGATAGGAAGCTCCAACATGTTCTTTGCCCGCTGGGAATAAATTGACACGATCAACCGTTTGTTGGCTTACAACGATGAAGCTACAGCTTTTCTTTCTCGGAACCAGGCCGGGATGATAAATATTATAAACATCTCTGCTTACACGTGATTCATAGTTGTTTGGTCATGTAAAACTTGACCACTCACCACTAAGGAGAAACGTCTCCATTCGGTCTTTAAACGGCTGCAGATGTTCCTCAGGGGAGTCCGAGCAGACCTTCCGCACACCCTGGGCACATTCTTTTCCAAGCAAACAAAAAAAAAAACATAATATTGGAAATACAGAATGGATATAGAATGCGAAGCAAACTAATGACATGTCATCATTGTTTATTGACCCATGCAGACTTCCCCCTGAGAGCTGTGTAGACTCTAAAACAACAGTTGAGTGACAGCAGCGCCAATTCACAGTGGACGGGGGGGGGGGGGGGGGGGGGGGGGGTAGGTCTTAAAATGTATAGTTGGCAGAAGATTTCACGGCCAAAGTACAAGCACTTCACCACGAAGACGCTCAGCAATTGCGTCGCCTCAGAAAGGTGCCGAAGAGCGTCGAGGAAACTCACTGCAACTGGGTACGAGGAGCTTATCGGCTCCAAGTTCCTCCTCAGATCTCACTTTGATTCACATTGTGATGGCGACTGCAAACTGCTCCTTCTCTCCCCTTGCGTCCAATCAGTGCATCAGAGGAGCCAGTCTGCACGGGCCAGTCATAATAGAGACCCGGACGCTTGATCAACATCACCCAGATAAGATTACAAAAGAATACTGTTTTCAATGGGGATTTGTGTAAACTGTGGAGCCCGGGATCATTTGTCTCCTTTGTGCCGTGACGCTTTCTTTTCTTTTGTGTCTTAAAACTTTGCTTATATCTTGCCGAAGAGGGTTACAGAGCCTCGCGTGAAGGGAGCTGTCACTTGTGACAATCCTTTTGTTTGCAACTGCGTTAGGTTTCAGTTGCCTCATCAAGTAACACTTGACCTCACCGAGACGGCATGATTCCAGTGTTGCGGCCTCCCAACCTTGGCACTGCATTGTACTGACTGAAACGGATTTAGTCTTAAAAGTAATTTCATGTCATAGTAAACCAGCGAAGGAGTTGAGATGCTCGGAATGGTAGGGAAAAAAAAAATGTTTTGAATTAATGGCAGACCGTTTTGGGAATTTCATCGAGCCTTTCCAAATAAATCCGTAAATGCTCTCGGAATTTCAAATAACTGACAAAACATTCTAGCCTGGACACTGTCTGCAGTTAAGACAGTGTTTATGATGTTTATGTCCCTGAAGCAGACATGCTGGCTAATATGAGCTGAGCCTACCCAAAACATCGTTGGACACAATGTTTACAGATCGCTGGATGATCCAAGGCAAAACTTGCTCCACTTCGTAACAATTATAAACCATTTGCTTGGACTTCAGATCAACTATGAGGAAGAGGCCATTTTACATCAGAAGAATAGCAATAGCAAAATTGATTCCTGCCAAGCCAGGGCAGCCAGGATTAGTGGTTAGCACGTCTGCCTCACAGTTATTGAGGGTCTGCGTAATTCAAGTCCCGGCCCCCCTTTGTCGAGTTTGCATGGGTTTTCCGCCACTTTCCACAAACATGCATATCGGGTTAACTGAGGACTCCGTTCCACTGAGTATGGGAATGGTTGTTTGTGCACATGTGCCCGGTGAATCCCAGCTCTCACCCAAACGCATCTGCAACACTCATGAGAACAAACCGTGTCTTTGCAAGCTATTTACATCAAGCCTCAAAGCAAAGCGAGGGAGAGTGAAGAGCAACAATGGTGGCGGTTCAAACGGGCAGTACAATGAGAAGCTGCGATGGGACGATCCAGATTGCGCAGCGGTTTGGGGTTGATGAAGCGATACTACAAAGCTGCGTTGAGAGCTGAAGAAAGCAATCTGCGGCGCACATCTCGGGGCCACACTGGAGCCCGGACCGATACAGCCGAGATGGTTACTGGCCCGTGCCGAGGCCCGTGCAGAGATGAGTCGGATACAAGAGGTCTGGAGATTACGTAAGTGGGAAGCTACGGTCTACGTTTACTGGCGACAGGACAGGCGCACAAAGGACGGGAGATCTGATGGGCCGAAGGATTACGAGCTGGATCTGAAAGGCGCCAGGCCAGTATCTGCAGCAAGACTCTGGATGCAGACACACGCCGCGTGCAAACATACATATACCAGATCTAAGGATTGTTCCAAATTGGGAAAATAATACAAGATAACACGTCTTTTTTGTTCTTTGACAACCTCGGGTTCTGTTGAAGGCGTTTCGGCCCAAGTGTAAACATTTACACAGGCCGGGGATGGGAAGACAGAATGAAGAGCTCGATTGATTTGGGGATGTTGGCCGGGAAAATGCTCCCGGGCGGGGATTTGGTGTTTGGGAAGCTCCACAGAATACCTGCTAGGTCTCGGCCGAGCCTTTTTAGGTCTGTAATGAGGTCCTCAAAATTGAGCTGCGATGCCAAGAAGACGTCCTGTGGTTCAGGAAGTGGAAAAGCACTTTTGTCTGTTCCGGCATTCTGGCAAATAAACATTAACATTAAAGCACACAGAGTCAGGTTTGGACTTGAGTTGTCAGAAAACGCGCGTTTATGTCTTTTCATGTGACTACCTTGTCAACATTGTGAAGGTAATATGAGACCACGTAGTCCACCAGGCTGATCCGATTGTCCTAGAGAAACAAAAAAAAAAAAAAATGGAGGAAGTATGACATTGTTTTGGCGAAAAAAAAAAATTTCTGCATGAATTTTCCATTCTGTGGACGTAACTCATCACAGTCCATTATATTTCCCATGTCCAGATGTTTACTTACATCATATGAGTATGAACACATTTTTTCTGATTTATTTCAAATATTCTTGGCCTTTGAATCGTTTTTGGTACCCTGCTCTTGACGTCTTTGAGTTTTGGAAGTATTTCGAGACCGAAGCCGTCAGCCTGGCCTCTGATCCTGTTGCCGCCGTTCATGTGGTTGCCCAAAGCCAAGACCAGTCCCAGAATTTCCTTTACGCCATCTTTTTCCAGCAGAGCCTACACGTCAAAACATATGGGCATCTTCTTGTTAGTCCAGGAATGTTCACAGCTCTCAGGTCACAACAACAATGAGCACTTCATTGTACAATATGGTGCATTTTCCTGTCTCACGTTCCTTCCTACCTCGCACACAGAGGCGATCGTGTGAAGTTTGTGTTGAATGGACGCCATCCCGTCGTTGAAGGCCGCCTTGAGAATGAGGCAGCGGGCTCGGCCTGCAAAGTCCGGAATCTGCGAGAGCTCGTACAGGAACCTGGATAACACAAATATTCAACATGGAAAACGATCGTCCAGCAATTTTGTAAACCGCTAACGGTGGTTATGAATAAATTGTGGTTGTCCACCGTTCACTGTTCACATGTAATCAATCACACTTATGTTGTGTTTGTACTGACTGCTCGGGTTTGTCCAAGTGTTTAATCTCCTCTTCCTTGGATGTGTTGTAATGCGTCTTGATCTTCTCCAGCTCCTCTGGCTGAGCTCTCTGGTATATTGACATGTGCATTTTAATGACATTCGAATTCGCGGCTGCTCGTTCATACTGCTGTTTAATACGCACATTTTCATACAGCGCCTCGATAGTCTCGAGGTCCACCACGGAGTTATCCACAGTCAGCACAGCTACAAGAAATAGAACGATACGCATTTTTTTAATGGAAACACACATTTTGTTTCCGTGACTGGCAAACAACCCGACTGACCTTGTTGGATATCTTTCATCTCAAGGTGGAGGCTTGATATGAAGATACCCACAGCCTGAGAGCGCTTACTGTCCAGCAGCTTAATGATCTAACGCACACATGCACGGTTCTAGTTAAGATCTTGGATTCGGTAACGCGGAAAAGCCGAACTAAAAAAAAAAAAAAAAAAGCGTCAGAACTGTGAGACAGATGTGGTCAACGACATTCCACCATGCCGCGCCTTAATAATGACATCATATTTTTTCTCAATGCATTTCGTCCTGTGCGTTACCTTTCTGGCTTTGGCCTTTTTCTCATAATTCTCCACCAGCGGTTTTCTCTTGAGTCGCGTGGTGGTTTTGGCAAACAGATCCTCGAACTCAACTGCGTTCGTGATATGCGGTTCCTCCAAAACATTCCACAGTGTGTTGTTCCTGAGAAAGAGACAAAAGACAATATTTATACTATTTTTAATGACCGGTTTTGTCAAAACCGCAAAGATCCATTTGCTTGTCTTTTAAAGATGTCTTTGTTTTTCCTTATTTACGATGATTCCTTTTTCATGTTATTGAAGCTGACAGAAGTGGTAACAAATGAGACTAACATCAGACTGAATACAATACATCATTTTTTTTTTCTCTGTTCATGATCGCGATCACAGTTTGCACTGCATTATATTGAGGTCTGTTTCTAATATTTTGGTTGTCCTATTGATCTACATCGTTGGCACAAGATTAGAAAAAACAATCAATGTGATGCAAGCAACTACAACCACAAGAACATTTGATGGGTCACAGGTGAGCTCGAGCCTGCCCCAGTCCCAGTTTGGGTGAGGGGCGACAAAGCCACTGAGAAGAAGATCTGGAAACTCTTTTGAGCTGACGGAGCTGCTTTGTCATTTCTTAAATCCACATCACATGATGTATGGACGCCATGTGGTTAGCCGGTGTTTCATTATCAATATTTCATACAATTAAAACTGTTTTATAGTAGAGTGCATGGCTGTAAACATACTTGTTGTCCTCAATCTGAATTCTGGTCCAGTACAGAGGCTTCATGGGACGCGAAGGCTGGACCGCAGGTTTTCTGGGAGTCGCAAATAAAGGCGGAGGCATTGATGAAGTCACAGCCGACATGGACGGAGGGGGCGGAGGTGGTGGGGGAGCTGCATTAACTGCATGAAATGGGGTGGGTGGAGGTGGCGGTGGAGGAGGCGGCGGGGGGGCTCTCGATGTTTGTTTGTCTGTCGGCATTGGTGACGAACGTGGCAGAGGTGGAGGCAGAGGTGGTGGAGCGATTGCATTGCTTGGTGCGTGGTGTCCCACTGATTGACACGGCGGGCCCCCGTCTCGCTGACCTGCCAGGCTCAAGCTGATAGAAGCCAAGTCTAGTTTTTTGGGGGTCACCCGCTGCTGAGTTTGGGTGCTGTCTCTCCTGTTCCCGACCTCATCACTCTTGACGAAGGTCTCCCTGTCGGTTTGGATGCAGACAGTGCGGAAGGCTTTGCGCGGAGATTGGTTATCTTGTGTGGACACGGCCACGTCTTTGTGCTCGCTGTGTCTGAGGGTGCCAAGTTGGGAGATCTTGGCCTGCAGCTCAGCGAGACTGAGCTTCAGACGGGATACGTTGACTTCGTTTTCAGCCCTTAGTTTCGAGAGCTCCTGGCTGAAGTCCTCCTGAAACAATCAACAAGGACAACCATTTATTCACACTCGCAAGAATGGACACTTAAAGTCTTCCCTGAGTCCCGAGAGAAAACCCAAGCGAGCAAAAGGAGCAATATGGTACACGAAACCGTCTTGCTGCCCTCAAACGTTTCAAGTCTTAAGCCAAGTCCCTAAATACAAACATGAGGGGGAAAAAAAATGCAACAAAACGGTGAATGGTTTGGGAAAGTGTGTGAGAACCTTACAATCTACTACTTCATTTAGCTGACGTCTGTTGATAATTTCTTAAGGGTACATGCAACGAGTTTAGTGTATTTAACTGACAAGCAAGCATGATGGTGAATGAAACCTGTTGTGGGAGTTCATTTGTCTCCGGGGGCTGTCTAGCAGGTTCATCCAGAACCATATTTACTTTAGTCACACAACAGCACGATCTTACCCTTCACACTGACCTGTAACTTCTCCACTTCTTCTTTGCATTCACGCTTCAGCTGCAGCAGAGCTGCCTGGTGCTCTAAAAAAAAGAGACAGCAGTGGAGGTCATTGCCTTCTTCTTTGTTTTCTTTTTTTTTTTTTAAAGAACATTACAGTATCAAAGCGAGCAGAAAGGAAAGGACGTAGAAGAGTTTTTTTTTCCGTTTTCATATACCGGTGGTCATTTTTCTATAGGAATTTATCTTAATGCTGTCCTGACAGATTTCAACCACTTGGCCGCAGCAGAGCCATTCATAAAAATTCATGTGGTCACGCAGCAGAAACTATTCAGAACAATAATGCTGCTTTGCCCTAAATTGTATGCTGTAGATGTTTGAATCACTATATAGGGTACAGCGCCACTATGGGGAGGCTGAGAAAAAAAAAA